GCTGTGAGAGGGTTGTAGTTGCTGTGAGAAGGCAGCCTAAACTCCATAAACTTCAAGCCCCCATCCCTATAAGTTGTCATAGGCCCTTCCCCCCCCCTCCGCCGCCGCCCGCCACCCACTGCAACCTTTTGCCTGGGTCTCTATCAGACTCTATCAGAAAGTACTTCCAAAAGGCTCATAAGCTTGAGCAACCATACACTATACCCTCAAAATGAATACGGCACGTGCCTATCTCTTCTTTTGCATACGTTTTGCTTTTCGACGGCACACTTCGGTGCTTCTTGGTGGCTGTGTTGGTGCTTTGGGATTGTTTTGCTTAGGGTGGTGGTTTGCTTGTTGGGTCTTGATATCGTGGGCCTCTACTTGAGTTTAGTTTATGTAGTGGCATGCATAGAAAACTTTTTTGTGGATGCTACCTGGTGCCGTCTGATGGAAGGTCTTTGTTTTGCGTTAGTGTTGGAGTTTTGGCGTTTGTGGATTCTTAGCGAAGTTTCTGATCTCGGGCTCAAAAGTGGCAGCCAAGATACCCAAGCTTTAAGGGTTTTTGGGGGGCTGGGGGGGAGAGAGTTCAGAGGTGTTCATGATCAGGGGGCTTTGAGGAAGAGTTCAGGGTTCAGGGTCGGTTGAGAGTGTTAAAAACCCGATACTCCCACGTGCCCCCCCCCCCCAAAAAAAAAAAAAAAAAAAAAAGGATCTGAACCTCGAATCCCAAAAACACCCAAACAGCTCAGGCTCACACAGAGGCATCGGGAACAAGCGCTTGAGCAAATCCACCGAGTGGTCGCTCACAGGCGTTCGTAGGGCTTAGGGCTAAGGGTTAGCCAGGGAAGTTTAGGTCGGAGTCTGCCCACTTGCTAGAATTGCTACAAGGAAACTTGCCTTCAGGGTTTAGGATTTAAGGTTGTGAAGGATCTCCAGATTCAGGACACGGCAACAGCTTCAGGGGGTTCCGGGACTAGGGTATGATTAGAAAGGCACTTTAATCCACTATTTGCTTAAGAAAACCCAAGAACGAAGTAATAGCAATCCCGTTATTTCCCTTACTGGGAAGAATATTGCTTATTGTTTTTGTTGTTTTTTTGGGGGGGGTTCTTAAGCAAACAGTCGTACTGGGAAACGGAACCCCAAGAAGGCCCTGAGAACGAAGCCCGGCCAAAGCATTCAGATTGACACCCTAAACTAAACCCCTAAACCTAAGCTTCTCTTTTCTTAAGAAACCTCAACAAAAAGCGAAATAATCATCCCGATATTGTCCGTAAAAGGAAGAACATGTTCAAGGAAAGTTCTTTCTGAAGCAAATAGTAGTAAAAATGCCCCTTAAGTGCCCTAACATCGTTCCCAATGGGTCATAAGTACCGCGATACTGGGCTACGTAGTAAGTACCATGAACCTCCAAGTAGGGCACCTCTTCCATGCGCCTGCAGGTGTCGCCTACCTTGTGAGCCACTACAATGCTTCTTGGAGCTGGACCAGAATGTTCCGGGTTTAGGGGTTTTAGGGTTTTGGGCTTTTGGGTTTCAGGGTTTAGGGTTTCGGGTTTAGGGATACACGCCCGCTTATGTTGGCTACCCAAAAAGGGGGCCATTCTCATACATCCCTCAAGGTTCCCCTTACCTTCCCCTTGATATACTCCTAGTATGGCCCTTACACTGCCTTAATTGAGGATGGCCCATTTATGTAGAGATCACCTCAACAAGTCTGCGATGATCATTGCTTTCTTATTTCCTCCGGATGACCGCTAAACCCTAAACCCTAAACCCTAAACCCTAAACCCTAAACCCTAAACCCTAAACCCTAAACCCTAAACCCTAAACCCTAAACCCTAAACCCTAAACCCTAAACCCTAAACCCTACCTAAACCCTAAACACTAATGGGTGGTGAGAGGGCATCTGACTTGCAGGGTGGGCTCTTTCCGGAGTGACGGGGCTGAGGGCTTAGGGCTTAGGGCTTCGGGCTTGGGGCTTAGGGCTTAGGGCTTTGGGCTTAGGGCTTTGGGCTTAGGGCTTAGGTTAGGGCTTAGGGCTTAGGGCTTAGGGCTTAGGGCTTAGGGCTTAGGGCTTAGGGCTTAGGGCTTAGGGCTTGGGGCTTGGGGCTTGGGGCTTGGGGCTTGGGGCTTGGGGCTTGGGGCTTGGGGCTGGGGCTTGGGGCTTGGGGCTTGGGGCTTGGGGCTTGGGGCTTGGGGCTTGGGGCTTGGGGCTTGGGGCTTGGGGCTTGGGGCTTGGGGCTTGGGGCTTAGGGCTGGGCTTAGGGCTTCGGGCTTAGGGCTTAGGGCTTAGGGCTTACCTCAAGAACACCCTAGATCCTACACACTTGCGCCTCCAACCCACCACTTTAACTCCAGAATGCTGTGCGGAGTGATTTCAATCAAGGTTCCCTATAACCCACCGAATCGTATGGGTACACAGCCTGGGGCTCTATTTTATACGTAGACTCCGAAACCCTACACACTAAACCCTATACCTTTACCATTACTTGGGGTTCTAAAGCCTAAACCCTAAACCCTTAACCCTAAACCCTAAACCCCCTCGCGAAGGTCTGGGGCACGGGCGACGGGGACATGACACACTCCTGGTTCGGCGGGGGTCGCCGGGCAAGGTGTACTACAGCTTTCTGCTAATTGCTTATGAACCCTAAACCCTAAACCCTAAACTGTAAACCCGAAACCCTAAAACCCTAAACCCTAAAGCCTAAGCCCTAAACCCTCCCCCCCCAAAAACAAATCCATAAATAACAGCTCCTATATTGCCCTTTATAAGGAAGAACTGGGGTTCTAGCTAAAGCAATTAGTAGCTGCAGGGTTGCAAGGTTCAGCGTTTATGGGTTTAAGGGTCGAATTCAGGGTTTAAGGGTTGAATTCAGGGTTTAAGGGTTGAATTCAGGGTTTTTGGGTTTAAGGGTTGAATTAAGGGTTTAAGGGTTTTGGGGTTTAGGGGTTGGGGTTGTACGCTGCGGCTCAGGGTTCAGGGTGTGCGGGTTCACTGCACTGCTCTTCCTCGCAGATCCCGAAACCATCTTCCGCCGCCCTAAGCCCTAAACCCTCCAAGCACGCTCTCGAACATATGAAGCAGGGTTTATATTTCTGTTATTGGTGAGTGTATATAAGGTTCCTTTGTAAAATTGGTGAGTGTATATATTGGGTTTCATATCCTGAACCATGCTACTCCCTGCGCCCTCAACCCTAACCCGGAACCATCCCGTCCCCTAAGCCCTACATCCTGAACCGCAACCATCCGAACTCCTACAACCCTAAACCCTACATTGACATGAACCCGCAGCCATCAAGCCTGCTATGCCATCGTGGCAAAGCCTGACAAGCCCCCAGCCGTTCTATGGCACAGCCGTTAGAACTTCTTTCGGGTCTGAGGGTAGATACAGGGTCCCTTACGGGCCCTAAAATGGGGACCCCTTGCATACCCTTTTTTCCCTCTACAACCCATGGTAAAGAAGGTAACGGACCACATCATGCGGGTTCAGGGCCTGAGAACGAGGTGTCGTGTTGAGCCGTGGGGTGTTGGTGCTCCCTCTGTGGCGCGCGATGTGTTCCTTATCCCGTCGCAAACCCTATGTCCTAAAGCATCGGGAAAACCATATGTCATACGTATCAAAAGAAGCAGAAGCATCGAAGAAGAACTGATGAGAACCCTGAACCTTCAACCCCAACTATTGAAAACTTACCCCTTTTATAACCCTTGGACCCGAACCCCTAAGCCACAAACCCTTATCTCTCCCCACCGCTAAGCCCTACTTCTTGTAGCTTGGACGGTTAGGGTGTAGGGGTCTAGGGCTTAGAGTTTAGGGCTACACCGCGAAAACCTTACATCCCCAAGCTCGAACCCCTAAAACCTTAAACCTCTAACCCTAAACCCTAAACCTTAAACCCTAAACCCTAAACCCTAAACCCAATGCCCTAAGCCGCTGAGGCGACAACTGGGGCAGCAAGGCACTCGGGTTTTAGGAGCTCGGGCGGGGGGGGGGGGGTTGGGGTTTTGGGGTTTCGGGTTTAGGGTTCAGGGTTTAGGGTTGAGGGTTTAGGGTTTAGGGGGTATGTAGGGGCTAGTTAGGTATATTAGGGGCTATAGAAGGTACATACAAGGGTTATATAGGGGAAGTTAGGGTTTTAAAGGAGGGTTCCTTATAAGGGAACTTAGAGGTTCTTCGGGGGGGGTATGTAGGGGCTACTAAGGTTTTCGTTTAGGGTTTAGGGTTTAGGGTTTAGGGTTTAGGGTTTAGGGTTTAGGGTTTAGGGTTTAGGGTTTAGGGGGTATGTAGGGGCTACTTCGGTATATTAGGGGCTATAGAAGGTATAGACAGGGTTGTATGAGGGGAAGAAGATTCAGGGTCCCTTCTAGGGGTCCCCTCTTCCAAACCCTAAACCCTCTGCCCCGAAACTCCTAAACTCCTAAACCCTCTGCCCCGAAACTCCTAAACTCCTAAACTTCCTAAACTTCCTAAACTCCTAACCTCCTAAACTCCTAACCTTCCTAACCTCCTAACCTCCTAACCTCCTAAACTTCCTAAATTTCCTCAACTCCTAAACTTCCTCAACTCCTAAACTTCCTCAACTCCTAAACTCCTAAACCCTACACCCTAAACCCCTAAACCCTAAACCCCTAAACCCCAAAACCCTAAACCCTAAACCTGTTCCCCCCCCCCCCCCCGACGCTGTAAACGCTCAGCGATCCCCGGGAGGCCATGTCGACCGGCTGGCCCAACTTCCTCATGGCCGATCCAGGCCAGGGGTTTAGGGTTTAGGGTTTAGGGTTTTGATGAAGTGAGATTCAGTTGACAGCAAGCTCAACCATGTCCGAGGCCGTTTGAAGGGCCCAACATGCAGAACGCCGAATGTGCCATGCCCATGAAGGCCATGAAGGCGATGAAGGCAATGAAGGCATGAAAAGGCGAAGCTGCAGAACAACTAGCAATGTATAGCAGGCATAGTTGCAAAGACGTGTGCTCCTGAGAAAAGATCTGTCGCGACCTGTGTCGCATTCGGTGTGCCATGGCCCTGCAATCCTCCGATGATCTTCATAACCTCCGGCCCCCAACCGGACAGGTTATGAGCCCAATGATGCCAATGGCGGAGGGCATGGCAGGTGTTCGAGATTCAGTTCCTGGACAAGCTGGTTTGCCGAGGGGGGAAATGGGCAGACATGGTGGATATGGAACACTGAATCCGATCCCGAATCGGAGTGGAGCAATGGGACCATCGCCTTTGATGAATGGTGTGAATCCTGCAGGAGTGGCTGCTTCTTTGGATGGGCCAACGATAACCGGATCTGGCGAAGCGAGAACCGCACTGGGCGCGACGAACGAAGCGACGAGGGTGGGTCTAGGGTCTAGGGTTGACATAGGGCCAGCAGAACTGCAGCAGCATCAGCAGACAGCAGTTCCTTCACACCCAGCCACAGCACCTCAGGCCCTGGGACCACCACTACCAGGTCCGAGTCCCTTCCAAGGTCGTCCTCAAGAACCGCCACAACTCGCTTTGGAGGCACCACCTGCTAGAGAAGCCGCCAGGGTCCCTCAAGAACCAGATGATCAATCCCTGCTGGTTATGGTTCCTCGTCAAGGCCTACTACAACCGTCCCAAGAGGCCCGACATGCAATGGCGCAGCTAGCTGAGCAACGAGAGCTGTTGCAGCGGTCCAGTCTAGGGCCCGAAGGATGTTGCAGGGGACGGGTGTGGAGCAGAGTGATCAAGATCCAGTTCATAGCAGTGAAGATCATGTGGTTTGGTATTCCAGGCTACGAGGACTTGTTCAGGGCGTGGTGAATCCAGTGATGGAGAGGGTCCAGGTGATGAGGAGTCGTACTGCGATGAGCTCACCCCAGGCCTGGCAGTCACCGACAACGACGCCCGAACCTCGTGAAGCTGGAACTCCACTTATGGAACCTGCCATGCAGCAAGCCATGCAGGAATGGACACAGAGGACCTCTTTGTTGCAGCCAAGGCAAGATCTGTTTGGAAGTCCTGCTGAGCACTCGTCGGGCGAGTCTGTCTCCCAGGTCAGGCGACAAGTTCAGAGTGCAATCCAAGGACGAGATGTCAAGGTGCACCAGCTTCAATCGGAAAATGACGAGTTGAAGAAACTGCTGCATCAGGTGATGGAAGCCGCCCCAAGACCGCAGGGGGTGGGTGAGGAGATGACGAGAGCCGACCTGAGAGGCCGCTTGGGATCTGGGGGCCTTGAACTTCCAGGTGTTCGAAGGGCAAGGGGAAGCGATCGTCCTCATCAACCAGAGGAACTACGGCCAATTGGGGTGGAAAACGGAGCTGCAGGGCTGCTTGGTCCTCCCCCTGGATTGGATGGTGGTGGATATAGAGCTAGCTTCGTGAACAATGATGGTGGCAATGTGGGTGGTGGTGCCCAGGGACAGGGCACAGGGAAACCGCCTACAGGGTTGAGCTCTGATTTGCAAGGAGGGCAAGCCGTGGCGAGTGAAGGCGAGAACCTTGGCAAGAACGACACCCTTCCTGAAGCAGGTCGGAGCAGTGGTGGCGCTGGCAGCGTGGGAGGTGGAGGACCAAAGGACAAGGAGACCTCGACCCTTGAGCTTCTAGCACATGGAATTCAGCAGTTGCAGCAGATGCAGATGAAGAAGGATGGCCATGACCCTGAGCTCCTGAAGGGCAGTGTCGAGTTACCGAAGATGCCGGAGCCCTACACAGATAGCAGTTCCGTGGCCTTCCTGGAGTGGATGTATGAAGCGGGGCAACTCATCGGCTCCCTGACGGAGAAAGCCTCTGGATGGTGGGAGGCGAACTCCCAGTTGGCAGTGAACACCTACAAGGCCTACCAGGGTGAGTCGCCACTCCAAAAGTTGAAGATCAGGGTGGGGGCGAACTACTTTGTGGACGATGAGAAATGGTCAAGACTGGAACGAAGAGTCATGACCTTACTGCTCCAGTCGATGCAACCCCAAATCAAGAACGAGGTGATGATGCTCCGGATAGACAAGGTCAAGGATTGTCTGTTCAAGCTCTACACCATCTACACCCCGGGTGGAGCAAGTGAGAGGGCATCATTGATCAAACAACTGGAGTACATTGCACCTCAAGACAGCCCAACGGAGCTCACCGCCAGCTTGAGGAAATGGAAGAAGCTGGTCTCTCGAGCCTCAGAGATGGGAGTGAACATTCCCGATGGCTCTGTGCTGATGGTGGCGGTGGAGAATGCGATCAAGAAGGTTGTAAGTGGACAACCGGATATGGCCTTCAAGTTGAACATGGCGAAGCAGGACCTCCAGCTCCCTTACCAGCCACATATCACCTCCGTCTTGACCTATGTGGACCATATCCTGGCTGAGCTCCAACAGGTGATCCCCATTGCGCGCAACGACCCGAAGCTCAAGGGCATGAACGTGGAACCAAAAACACCGTCCAATGCTGGAAGTCCAGCAAGAGGCCAGAAAGCACCTTGCAAGTTCTGGTCCAGTGACGAAGGTTGTCGGAAGGGTTCCAGTTGCAAGTTTGCTCATGAGTTCATGTCCAAGGAGGAGAAGAAGGGTCGATGCTGGCATTGTGGAGGAAAGAACCACCGGCAGAACGAATGCCCTGTGAAAACGGGAAAATCAAAAGGAGGTGGAAAGGGAAGCTCGTCCACCCAATCTACAACTCCACCGACTTCGACAACGGCTACCGTGGCAGCGATGGCGGTGACCCCTCCTCCTGGTGATCAACCTCTTCAATCAGGAGAAGTCCCAGCATCCACAGCGCCTGCAGGTTCGGGAACATTGACCTCGTCCGGTTCGTCCTCGGCTGCCTCTACCGTCTTGTTTTCGGAGCAACCGACCCAAGCTCAAACCACTGAAGTCCGTGAGCTGGCGGAACAATTCCTGGCGAAGTTGAAGCGACTGGCACCCATGCAGGTGGAAACCAATGAGGCCATCGCGACCTTGAACCACTTCCTCCGGAGTCAAGGGCTGGAATCACCGGAAGGATTGGCTCTTCTTGACAGTGGAGCCTCTCACCCATATAGAGCTCCAAGGTCTCAAGACGAAGTTCAGAAGGCCAGAAAAGTGGCGGTCCAGTTGGCGGATGGGAGGACAGTTCGGCTTCGACAAACTACCGCAGGGACTTTGCTGCCGGAACAAGCCAATGAGGGTGACAACTTCGGTGGGACCATCCTGCCTTTAGGCAGCTTGGTGCAGTCACTTGGGTGTACTTTGAGGTGGAGCCGGAGGCGAGGACTACAAGTTCACCATCCAGAACATGGTCTGCTGCCCACAAAGCTTGTGGGAAATTGCCCGGTCTTGAGAGAGGCCGAAGCTCTGAAGCTAATCAGTGACCTAGAGGAGGTTGAGCTCGGGAAATTGAAGGCCAACAACATGGATGGCGTCATGAGGGCATTGAACACCGGAGGTCAAGAAGAAGGACCATCATGGAGGGAAGGTTTGGATGAGTTCGTGGCAACGGGATCCAGGAGGGCTCTTCGTCGAATGCTGTTGGATCCAGACTCACCTTTGGGTTCTTGTACTGAGGAGGAGATTGTGGCTATGATCGGCTTGGACGATGTGAACCTAAGTGATTCGAGCGGGGCGTCTATCTTGAAGGGTTTGCCGCTGAACCGAGCAGCAAGGCGAAGATTGCTGTCTACAAGATGGGCGATACACATGTTCAGTGGTGAGAGCAAGGAAGCTGAGATGGAAACGGAGTCCATGTCGACCCTGAAGATAGACCTGCGAATATCCAAAAGGTATGACATGCTGAAGAGCCACGAGACCACCAAGGCCCTACTGTGGGCTGCAGCTCGAGGACAAGTGGAAGGCCTCTATGGGGGTCCGCCTCGTAAGATGGAGAACCAGGAGCTCCTCACGAAGAAGTTCTGGTTGATGTGGATCATTGCAAATCGAGGTGCTGAGCTCAGCGACCTACGGAAGCCTTTTGTTGCCATGGAATTACCTGGACCGAGCGACTTCTGGAATGGCCCTGTCTGGCAGGGTATTAAGTCGACCTACGATGTGGCCACCCTCTACATGGAGGTAAACCATGAAAGATACGCCTTCGCCACCAACCTCAACGTCCCGAATGGTTTCCTGGTACCGAACTTTGAAGCCTTGTCCCAATCAACACCTCCGAGATCCCAATGGCCAGATGAGCTGAAGCAGCGACTGTATACCGGGATGAAGCTTTGGAGAGTCTATGGGGACGAAGGCATGAGATTGAGGATGATGGCAAGGATGACAAAGCCGGTGAACATGACGGAAAAGGAGCTGAAGCATTGGGAGGACCATGTGAAAGCAGGCCACATCCCCTATGATCGTCGTTGCCAAACATGTGTCCGGACGGCGGCGACGGGCCGGGCCCACCGGAGAACTTTAGCGCCGAGTGCATACTCACTTTCGCTGGATATCGCCGGTCCTTTCAGGGCCAGAGGCGAAACAGCGGATTCGGCTCGCTACAGGTACCTCCTCGTGGGAGCATACTGCCATCCGAAGTTGGAAGCCTGTCGGGAGAGTCCAAATCCTGAGGAAGAAGCTGAGGTGCAGGATGATGGTCTGGGGGTGGACAATGATGACCCTATGGAAGAGGAGGATAAAGGCGATCCAGTTGAGGAGGAGGACGACGACTACCAGAAAGAGATGAATGAGAGGTACAAGATGATCTACAAGCACATTGGAGATGACATCGAGTACCAGACCTTGCATTTCGCAGTACCTATGGAGACCCGAACAGGGAAGGAGGTGTTTGCGAAGGTCCGAGACATCTATCTGGAGCTTCGTCGCGATGGACTGCCCTTAACAAGAATCCACTCGGATCGGGGAAGGGAGTTAAAGGGGCAAGCCTTGAGGTCCTGGATGTCTGAACGGGACATCCTGGCAACTACGGGTGAGTCACAACAACCGCAGCAGAATGGAAGAGCTGAAGCCCTTGTACGACAGTTAAAGAGCAGATGCAGGACCCTACTACGATCGTCAGGATTACCCAGAACATGTTGGCCTCTAGCTGCAACCTTCAGTGCTCGAAGACAAAGAGATCTAGCGCTTGGAAAGCTTGATGACAAGGACCTCACCTTCGGGGCGAAAACCTATGTCAAGGCCAAGGTCTTTGGAACTGGAGGCTCGTACGATCTAGATAAAGATGGAAGGAAGGGGTCTTCGTGGGATATTCCAGTGATGTCCAACGGGGAAAGGTTGTCCGGTTCGGAGATGGGGGCTATGTCACGAGTGTGCATTTGAGACCGTATCTGGTGGACTCGGACGACCTGGTGGACCCGAGTCCCTTGGAGCTGCATCTACCAGCACCAGAACGTCGTGTTCGAGGGAAGGCACGAATCGCTGGAATGACCCTGCCAGAGACTTCTGCTGAGTTGTTGGCGAAGGAGTACCTCCAGGAGGAGAAGTTCGACTTAGAAGACATCCTTCGACTATGGCAAGAGCTCAAGCCACAACCCAAGGAAGGACTACGGACAAGCAGAAGAGAGAAAAGAAAGGAGGAACCAGCGATCTGGAAGACTGGTCAATTCACCCATGGTGGGATTTGCGGTCTGCTTGAAGCAACAAGGACAATGCCTTGGACAACATCATACTTGACCAAGGTCCTCTCTGAGTGGGTGGGGCACAACGAGTTCACCGCGCTGCAGATCACGGACAATGTGGGGATGCAAATGCATAGAGACAGCCACAACTCCCAAAGCCGAATGAACGTTGTCTTGCCTGTGTGCTTGCCGGAACAGGGAGGTGGAATATGGGTTGAGGCCTACGAGGTGGACTACTGTTGGGAAGATGAATGGAGGCAAGTTCGCGAAGCTGAATGGCGAAGAGGCAAAGTCCATGAACTACGACTTGGAGAACCAATCACATTCGACCCGAGGAAGTACCATGTGACTGAAGATTGGGTGGGAAGAAGGGTGGTTGTGGCAATGTATACTCCAAGGGCGAAGAATATGGATGGCTTCACGAAGGAAACCTTGGATGACCTTGGATTTGGAATGCCGGAAGAGGACCTCAGGCAGTTTCCCGATTACAAGAAAGGTGCGATCTTGAAGATGATGAACATGGCCCAAGAGGACAGGGAGGTGGACGCGGTGGTATTCCAAATGAAGGAGCCAACAGAATCCAAGGTGAGTTTGGAAGAATCCTTGGACGAGCTTCATGAACTTCAAGAAGGAATTATGGAAAGGCTTCGGGCTCGGGCTGAGAATCTAAGGGACCTACTCAATGAGGAGGAGATCTTAGCGGAAGAGCTACAAGCGACCAATGAAATGGTGAAGGAGGAAGCGGACCACGCCCGGGTAACGATCGAGGAGTGGCTTAAGGATGCCGAGGAGAAGATGGGCAAAGTGAGAAAGGTAACTGAGTCCTTTTTTCCTCAAAGTCGCGAACCTGAACGAGAATGATGAGATCGCGAATGTGGAGGAGTACCTTCAGAATCTGCAGGAGGACTTGAAGGTGACCTTAGATGTGCCCTTGGACCAGGTGAAGCTGTGTCTCGAAAAATGGGTTGAAGCAATCCAAAAGGAGCTAACCAACCTGGAGGTGAACACCGGGGCGCTAGAGAGAATCACCATGGAGGAGGCGAAGCGGATGGAAAGAGAGGGAAGGCTCCGACTCATCCCTGGAAAAATGGTCTTCACTGTCAAACCTGTGGGGGAGGCCAATTCGGGGAGTATCTCATCTACCTCACCAAAATGGAAACGGAAAGCGAGGATGGTTATCTGTGGGAACAGGGTGGACTTCGATGACGACCACACCAAGGAGTTGCTCTATGCTTCGGGGGCATCGGCCGAGAGTCTGAGGATCGCACTGTGCATTGCAGTGGCAGGTGGATGGCTGGCAGCAGTCACCGATATCACTGGTGCATTTCTTCTTTCGGAATGGCCAGAAGGCAAGCCTCGATATGGTGTCCTACCTCCTCGAATTCTTCAACAGGGTGGATTTCTGGGGCCTACGGATGTTCTTTTGGTCAAGCGGCCGCTATACGGACTCCGTGAAATCGCCGGCACTTTGGGCTTCCTACAGAACACGAGTGTTAAAGGGTCTGGAGATACCGTACCACAAGGGCAGCCTCCGATTGAAACAGCTGAGGACGGACTCTGAGTTGTGGATGATCATGTTCTGCGAGGGCGAGGAAATGACCCTGTACGGCATCCTGGTCACTTATGTCGATGATCTTCTGTACCTCAGCGACTCGGAAATCATTGAAGCCGTGCATGGATGGATCAAGGAGAGGTGGCCTTGTGCTCCATTGGAGTATGCCAAACAAAAAGGGGGCATAAGATACCTGGGGATGGAGTTGGTCCAGGATGAGAACGGACTATTTTCCTTGGGGCAGGCGGGCTACGTGCGAAATCTGGTCCGAATCCATGGTTTGAGCGAGGAGGCTACATCGAACCTACCATGCCCGAAGGAATGGTTGTGTGACGATGACTACGACCTTCAGGAGGAGAACTACACGGAAAGCGAATTGAGGCGTGGACAAAAAATCACAGGAGAGTGTCTGTGGCTATCGTGTAGAACCCGACCCGACCTCCTCTTCGTCACCAACTACATGTCTTCGACGGTGTCACGATCTCCATGCCGCGTGTATCGCATTGGGCTTAAAGTCATCGCCTACTTGAACGCGACGGTTGACCTGAAAATCCGGGTGGATAAGATCCCAAGCAGTTCCAACCAGATCCCAAGCAGTTCCAACCAGATCCCAAGCAGTTCCGACCAGATCCCAAGCAGTTCCGACCAGATCCCAAGCAGTTCCAACCAGATCCCGAGCAGTTCCGACCAGATCCCGAGCAGTTCCGACCAGATCCCAAGCAGTTCCAACCAGGTCCCAAGCAGTTCCGACCAGATCCCGAGCAGTTCCAGTCAGACTCTAAACAGCAGCGATGACAAGCAAGCACACCAGGTGGTTTCGGATCATAAGGTTCGGTTCAACGTGCAACTCTGTGGATATTCAGATGCTTCCTTTGCGCCGTTTGGTGGAAAGAGCTTTGGTGCCAGTGTTGCAGTGGTGGGAAGGACTCCAGTTGCTTGGAAAGCGAGCAAACAGTCGATGGTGAGCATGTCGGTTTGTGAGGCAGAGATGATGGAAAGTGCGACATGTGGGCTTCTTCTTGAATCGGTGGCTTCAATCCTGGTGGAAATTTGTGGACCAATTGTCTGCCCTGAACTAAGGGTAGACAATGCTGCTGCCACGAGCCTCCTTTCAGGCTCACATGGGTCATGGCGGACTCGACACCTGAGAATCAGACATGCCTACATCTTGGACAAGATCGCCCGAGGAGAACTCCGAGTGAAACACACTCCGGGGGACCGCCAATTGGCGGACCTTCCAACGAAACTACATCCCCGGGCTCGACTGATGGAATTGCTGCGATTGTGGGCAATGTTTGGACTTCCGGAGTTGGACAGGGCACATCAAATGGAGGATCTGAGGCTTTGCTACTTGATGCTGGCAATGATGGCTATGATGTCGATTGGCGTTGAAGGAAGGAAGGTCGAAGATCCGAACTCCTTTCTGAAGGAGCCTCTGGCAGCGACTGGAACGATGGAGCTTCTGTTGCTGCTGGGAATGTCGTGCGTTGTGGCTGTGGCATGCTGGGAGATGATCAAGATGATTGGAAAGTGGGGCTGGAATAAGATGTTTGGGACAAAGAAGACGAGGAAGCTAAGAAGGCTTCGAGATTTGGCGAAGATGGCAGCGGAAGCAGAGGTGAAACGAAGCCTGGAGCAAGCGAGTGAGGAGTCCGAGGCTACAATCCACCAAGCAATGCGACGGACCGGAAACCGGGCAACGTCTTCGTCTGAGCCAAAGATGAAGACCGTGGGGACACAGACCCCAGCTGTGGAGCCGGAAATCCATGAGAGGGTGGTGACTGTTCATGTTCCAGAGGTTCGAGAAAGAGTGGTTCATGTAGAAGTCCCAACCCGGGAAACCCATCGCTATGAACGTATCAACGAGATCTACATGACCGGCCACGGTGGAGGTGCTTTCCACACTTGCCAGGACTGCCAGGGCTTTCGATTGGCGACATCAAGGGTGCATTCCATTGCCTTGTGTACCTGGTGCAGCCGATCCCGACCGATATTCACCCGAAGCCTGGTCTAGCTCAATGAGTGAGCAGGGCATAGCATGATGATCCATGTGGAGCATGGATGCACTACGAAGGAACCACGCTCAGGAGCAGCTGTCAGATATCTTCTGCATGCTTCTTAGCCAAAGGCTAGAAGCAAGGAGGAGTGATGAAGTGAGATTCAGTTGACAGCAAGCTCAACCATGTCCGAGGCCGTTTGAAGGGCCCAACATGCAGAACGCCGAATGTGCCATGCCCATGAAGGCCATGAAGGCGATGAAGGCAATGAAGGCATGAAAAGGCGAAGCTGCAGAACAACTAGCAATGTATAGCAGGCATAGTTGCAAAGACGTGTGCTCCTGAGAAAAGATCTGTCGCGACCTGTGTCGCATTCGGTGTGCCATGGCCCTGCAATCCTCCGATGATCTTCATAACCTCCGGCCCCCAACCGGACAGGTTTATAGGGTTTATAGGGTTTATAGGGTTTATAGGGTTTATAGGGTTTATAGGGTTTATAGGGTTTATAGGGTTTCGGGTTTGGGGTTTAGGGTTTAGGGTTTGGGGTTTGGGGTTTGGGGCTCATTAAAAAGGGAACCTAAACCCTAAGCAGAGGGACTCTATAGGGATCATGGAGCTTTTCCTTTCTAGCAAGAGCAAGTTAACCAAGGGTGGGACTTCAGGGATTAAAGGTCACAACAGCTTTGCCGACCCTAAACCCTAAACTGTAGACCCTAAACCCTAAACCCTGAACCCTAAAACCCTAAAACCCTAAACCCCAAACCCTGAGCCCTAAAACCCGAAAACCCTAAATCCTAATCACCAAGCCCTTGGCAATCAAGGCCTCGCCAAGAAAAGTCATGAGCAACCAAACCGTCACTGGGCTAGGACCCACAGTAGGCCGTGATTCCATCTTCTTCGGGTTTAGGTTCCCTTGCAATCCGCCCCTTTTGCCCCAAGCCGGAAACCCTAAATCCTAAGCTCCTGGTTACTCCTGGGTCTTGTGAGAACTCTCTTCCCGTTGGGGGCCTTCTTTCCTTGTTCTCAGGGTGCGGGTCCCCCGAGTCGCCATGTAGGGTTAGGCTTTAGGGTTTAGGGTTTAGGGTTTAGGGTTTAGGGTTTAGGGTTTAGGGTTAAGGGTTTAGGCCGGACTTGGGGTTATTGTGTGCTTCCCCGTGTGGGTTGCAAAAGGGCCTTCGCCTTCGAAGGGTCGCTTGTGCCCTCTATTGCATCTTTTTAGGTGCCGTGCATGGCTCGCAACCTTTGGTTCTAGCAGGTGGCGCTCGGCAGAGGTGTGTCGAGGTGAACTTGGCTGGCAGTTCTGCGCCCCTGCCAGGGTCGCGCTGGAAGTTGCAGCCGTGCGGCACGCTTTGTGGCTACAGAATGGAGAGTCCCTGGCGGGCCTTAAGCTTCGCTCAGGCACATTTTCTGCAGTCTAACAATTGGGCAAAAGCCTCGCTGCAGCTTCTGGAAAAATGGTCTGTCTTAGACTGGCCTGTTTGGGCATCCTGCCGCCGTGCACATCCCACCTATCAGCTGTATGTGCGCGAAACGATGCAGTACTCTTCCACCCTGGCTTGGAAGGCAGCTGTTGCAAAGCATACTTTGCCTTTGTGCTACCTGGCCCTTTGTGATGCCCCTTCTTCACAGTTACGCGCTGCCTTCAAACTGAACGTGGCGTGGGCGAGCCTCCTCGGGCACAGAGACCTCTTGCTGCTGCGCTGCGGGTTCATTCGTCTAGGGCACATCGATCATCGGCCATCCAGGGCTGCCATCTTGCGGTGTATTTTCTGTGACAGGCGTTATTCGAGCATCCACTCGCACGTTGTCTGCCGGTGCAGTCACTTTGAAACATGCAGCCGCCCCTGCATGCCATGCGACAGCTTGAGCATACTCAATGTACAGCCGGGGGCTCCGCTATTTGAGCAAGTGAGCTTGCCAGCTGTATCTGCTCCGAAGCTCGCCAGTTCGGGGCCTTCCCGGCTACAGCTCAGAGTCGTAGGCTCTTTGGGCAAAGCGCATGTGCTCACTGAATAGGCAGGGTTCTCGGTGGCATGTCTGCGCTGCTGCGGCAGTGGCTGATGGCTTTTCCGAGGGCTGGGGCATCTGCCGGGATGATCAGTGAACACATGGATGAGTTGTAGGGTGAGTATATGTCCTGCCCTGGACTGACACGCATGTGTCTACCTACCAACCAACCAACCAACCAACCAACCAACCAAAACCCTAAACCCTAAACCCTAAACCCTAAACCCTAAACCCTAAACCCTAAACCGCGGGGGGTTTGTCGGGGCTTTGGGGAGTGAACGGATGGAAAGGGCTTTCGTAGTTTCAGGCTTTGAGGGCTCCTGCGCCGAAGCCCCAAACCCTAAACCTCGCCTAAGCCCCAAACCCTCAACTCTAAATCCCTAAACCCTAAGCCCCCCTATGCCGCCTAAAAACCCTAAACCCTACAGCAGGCCCTAAACCCTGAACCCTAAACCCTAAACCCTAAACCTTAAACCCTAAACCCTAAACCCTAAACCCTGTTTTTAGGCACTTGGGCCTCATCGTCGTCAGGGAGTGGCCCCTTGGAAGTGCTCTTGGGTTTTGGGATGTGAGGCTTAGGGGTTTAGGGTTTAGGGTTTAGGGTTTAGGGTTTCGGGTTTAGGGATTAGGGATTAGGCATTTAGGGTTTAGGGTATGGGGCTTGGGGAATGTGGTGTGGGGTTTGTTTGGGGTTTGGGGTTCAGGGATTTCGGGCTTAGGGTTCAGGGTTTCGGGTTTAGGGCTTTGGGGCTTCGGGTTTAGGGGTCAGCGCTTGGGGCGCTTTGGGGTCTACAGAGAGCTTGTTGCGCCAACCTTGCTTCGGTGTTTTGCAGGGCTCTGGGCTGGTGAGCCTAACCCCTAACTCCTCACTCCTAATCCCTAAACCCTAAACCCTAAACCCTAAACCCTAAACCCTAAACCCCTAAACCCCTAAACCCCTAAACCCTAAACAAGCCCTACGCGATATTGGGGAGCCCGGCCCATGACACAAGGCCCCGAAGCCTCAACCGTAAGCCCCTGAACGTTACACCTTGAATCTTAGAATCCCAGACAGAGAAGGAATGTTCCAAAATGAAAGGGTTTAGGGCTTAGGGTTTAGGGTGCCTTAGTCAGTATTTGCTTAAGAACCCTCGAAGAGAGAAACAGCAAATGCAAATAATCCCTTGCCCTGATAAGGAAGAAAATGCAATTTTCTCGGGCCGGGGGGGGGGGGGGGTTCTTAAGCAAATAGCAGAAAAGGAATGCTCCAAAATGAACGGTCGATGTTTTATTAGACCTTACTCGGCCACTAAGCCAGGAAGAGTCCCTTGAACGTCCTAGCCTGTTGGGATCGGATGATGAAATCAATGAAATGTGCCCTCAGCCCCATGCAACAAAGAGCGAAACCACTGACTTGAGCTCCCCGGCAACGATAAGCACTAAGCGTATGCCCTAAACCCCAAACCCCATCTTCTACAATTTAGGGCGTCCTTTCCTCTTGGATCTTGGGCGAGAGGGGAACCTAGTAACCCCAAAATCTAAGCCGCAAGGCCATAGCCCAGCATCTCCCACAAAGCCCACAGCTCTCGGGCCATAAGTATCAGCCCCCAAACCCTTAACTCCCAAACCCGACGAAATCTGAACCCAATCCGAAACCTCAAACCATGAACCCCAAGCCCCCAGCCCCAAGCCCTAAGCCCTAAACCCTAAACCCTAACCTAACCCCCCCCCCCCCGAAAAAAAAAAAAAAAAACGAGGCTATCTCTCGACCCCCAATGTCATGGGCTCCTCCTCGACCTTCTGGTTCTCCCTCGTGGCCGAAGTCCTGTCCGCGCTCTCATTGACAGAGGCTGGGGTTTGGGGTTTAGGGTGTTTTTGGGGGATTCCTAAACCCTAAACCCTAAACTCCTTTGATTCAGTTTCCCAGCTTGCTCTAAAACGCCCTGAACGTGGCAGGTCTTCGCGACTCAGGGTTTTCAAAGTAACGAGGGTGAGCCCAGAAGCCCTGGTCGGGTCTAGGATCTAGGGCCTTTAGGGTTCCGGGTTCAGGGTTTTAGCGTTTCAGGGTTTCAGGGTTTTAGGGTGTTGAGGTTTCAGGGTTTTCAGGGCTTTAGGGTTTCAGGGGTTTTAGGATGTTTTAGGATGTTTTAGGATGTTTCAGGCTTTTCGGGTTTTTAGGGCTTTAGGGTTTTAGGGTTTCGGGTGTAGGACGTAGATCGTGGGTTGAGGACGCTTCTGGCGCACCCCTGGCTGACAATACAGGCTTTAGGTTATATTGGTTGGCGGTCTCCTTAGGGTTCAGGGTTTAGGGTTTAGGGTTTAGGGCTTAGGGCTTAGGGCTTAGGGAAGTAGGGTTTCTGTTTTGTGGGGGGGGGGGGGGTTCTTATTAGGGTATCTGGGGGCTATAGAAACGTATAAGGGGTAACAGATAAAGAGGCCACCGGCCCTCATAAGCTTTAGGGCTTGCGGCTTTACTACTGTTTCATGCTTGGGATGTTCCCCCCTTATACCCCCTTATACTTAGCAGCTCCTGAATCGGGATCATGGGGGTCCCCTATATCCCCAAGTAGACCCCTAGATAACCCCCAAGGTTTGGGTGTTCCCCCTTATACTGACAGCCCCTAGTAGGGATGATAATAGGGGGATACTAAGATCCCGATTCAGGACTGTTAGGATAAGGGGGAACGTCCCAAATTGTTGCCTAAGAACCGCGCAAAAATTGACAGGCAATAATTCCTGGCTTGCCCTTATAAGGAAGATGTTTGTTGGGGGGGGGGGGGGGGGGGGGGGAGGTTCTAAGCAACTAGTAGCTAAGGTTTCGGGGGGGGGGGGGGGGGGGGGTTGGTCCCGGATCTGTGCTTCATTCGCAGCATCGCGTATGTGTCAGAACAGCGGATTTCAGATTCAGAAGCGCCGGAAAAGACCCTAA